TATATATATATATATATATATATTTATATAGACATTTTCTTATGCATGTTGACCCGTTTAACTTGTATTTTTGTGCTGTTTGAAATGTGTCCCGTATGATCTGTATTTGAAAACGCGTTATAAATATGTAATTTTTTAAATAAGGATAATAATTTACCATTTCAAACACTTGAGATTAACTGGCGGCATACATACTGCAATTACTGCAAATTAAAATACTTGTTTTTGAATGAGCTCCTTAGGATTATATCAATGTTTTTCTTAATTTGCATTGATAAATCAATTTTCGGATTGATCTAAACTCAACCCTAAATTGATTTTTGGATTGATCTAAAATTAACCCCACCTAAATCTAAGAACCCAACTCATTTATTACAAAAGCAAAAAAAATCAACTCAGATCTGATCTACCTTCAAATAGATTGGTGTGAACCCAAATCTAAGCTTAACCTAGCAACAATCATTTGTGTCAACTTTGAGCGAAGTTGAAGCCAATTTTGGGTCAAGTTCTTGTTAGCAAGGTTAATTTTTTTGCTGGAAGGTCAACCTAAAGAATAAGTTCTTCTAGTCAACCTGATACAAAAATTTTCAAAAAGATTTTAATGAAGTTTTTATCTATTAGCTAGTTCTAGTATTAGTGGCTCAAACAATGCTCAGCTGTTCCAAGTGACCTTTACAAGATCATAGCTCACTATATGTAATTAGAAGTTTAGTGTTAAGCCTACTTTAAGACTTTGGGGACATTGAATGGATTAGGTATCATTCGGCTTAAGTATGGGTGGTCTAATCAGGTTACTTTGGTTCAAATTAAAATTAAATCAAACATTAATTTACATTAAAAAGTATCCTGATCAAACAAAAACTAAATGAAACTAAATATCATTTCAAAATAAAATTTAAAGCGAATTTAATTTAAACTCACACCTAAATCTAATTTAAATTTTACGCTAGTTCCTTAGCAAGTTTCGCTAGAGCGTCGACATGGGTGTTATCTCTCTAAGGAATCCAGTATAGAGTCACACTAGGGATCCAATCTAACAACTTTATAGTGTACCGATGGTATTCTGCTAGCCTTGGCTTCAAAATTTTATAGTGTACGACGACTTGTTGAATGACGAGTTGTGAGTCGCCATAAATGACAATGTTTGTTTTGTCTATTGAGATTGCCAAATCCATCCCGGTGATCAAAACTTCATGTTCTGCATCATTATTGGTGCACGGTTCTATCAAGTGATAGAAGAATCTCAACATACCCTGATCTGGTGTAATAAAAATCAGACAAATTCCTACTTTTCCTAGTACAACTACCCCTGATCCTTTGTCCTTTCTGGCTGATGAAGCTCCATTGAAGTCATCTCCCAATGTCCGGCACTGGACGGCTCAATTTTTAATCTCTGCTCATCTGGTAGCTCATCATTGAGAGGGGTGATGCAGGTGGATTTAGTGTGTTAATTTTGCAAATATTTTTCAATATTACAAAATACACACGGCAGATACAATAGTAAATACACAATTTAATTCCAACAAAAATAACTTTAGTGAAAATAATTTTATCTTTTAAAAATCTTTAAACTGTCAAATCTCCAAAAAATAACGCTATTATACGTATCGTTCAAGTAATAAAGGGCTCTAACGGACTCCTAGATATCGATCCCACAAGTAAGTTGGAAATGCCTATAAGTAAATTCTTAAGTTTATTAAGTAAATTCTTAAGTAATGCCTATAAGTAAATTCTTAAGTTTATAATGTAAACTACAAGTTTAAACTACAAAAGTGAAGTGTGAAATTTGAATATAAAGTAATAGAGGAATGCTAAATAAACTGCAATAAAAGACAATTAATTAAACTAATTGCTAAACTTTCAAAAGTAAACTTGCGAAAACTAAACAAGGTTTTTGTGACGAAGAGTTCAAATTTTCAAAAAACATCCTTCCCTTTACAATGAGTATATGGATTGTGTAGAAATTAAAATCATTTGAAAAAATATATAAATTGTTTTGTGTCAAATAAGAGCAAGCAAATATAATCTTTCCCCCCTTCCGATTGCATAAATAACATTGACTATTCTAGAGTTTGGTCACTAATTCTGAGGTTAAGTTGGGAAGATACCGGCTGCCACTCCAGTACTCCCACTACTTCTTCTCCTGAGGGCTAAAAATCTCGCAT